CTCTCTCTCTTTCCTCTCTCTCTCTCCCTCCCTCTTTCTCTCTCTCTCTCTATCTCTTTGTCTCTGTCTCTCTCTGTCTCTGTCTCTCCACATATATATGTATACACACGCATACTCATATGTCAGGTAAGGTTATAAGTAGAACTTTCCTTTCTGTCCCTGATCTTCTGTGGGCTCTGGCCCCAGGCTGGGGATCACTGCTTCTCCAAGGGCCTATTTCTCTGTTGAGCCTGGCCAACAGCCGCCACGGGTGTTTGCCACTCCCCTGCCTGCAGGCTGCCGTCACTTCACAGCTGAACTGCTTGATAGGAAGCACCTACTTCACACAGTGAAGGGAAGCATAGACATGTGGATTTGGTAAGAAGCAAAATCAGTCTTTTGTGGTCCCAAATCAGGATGTGAATTTCAAAGCTGAAAAGGATTTCCGGACATTTTAGTTCATGAAAGGCAGCATAGCGTAGGGAAGAGAGAGGGAGATGGCCTGGAAGAGGACCTGGGTTCAAGTCCCGACTCCAGCACAATCTTGCTGTGTGGCTCTGGGCAAATCTCTTACCCTCTCTTGACTCTTGGCCAGTCTCTAAGACTGCGAGTTGCAAAGAAGGTGCTGATATGCATTGGTGAAGGGAGCATCCTCACCTGGAAGTTCCCTTTAATCAATGAAATCACAGGTTGAGTCCTTATCCCTATCCCTATAGAAAACCTTACAGATGATCAGCAGGGTGGCACTGGCGATAGAGAGCTAACTTGGAGATGAGAAGACTTGGGTTCTAATCCTACCTTAATCACTTGCTAAGTGTGTGACCCCAGGCAAGCCATTTAACCTCTCTCAGCCTCAGTTTTCTCATCTGTAAAATGGAGATTAAAATAGCACCTTCCTCATAGGGTTGTTGTGAGAATCAAACAAGACAATATATATACAACGTTTTGCAAACTTTAAAGAGCCACATAAATGTTAGTTATCTCTTTCTTGCCTCAGTTTCCAAATCTGGAAAAATGGGTGTGTGTGTGGGGGGGTGCGTAACGTAGCTAAAAACACACTGAATCTAGACTCGGGTGACTTGGGTTCACATCCTGGCTCTAATTCTTAACCTCCTCAAACTCATAAGAGTTTCCTTTTTCTCATCTGTAAAAGAGACAACGCACTTAATGGATTGTGGGGTCACAGATTTGGGGCTGGAAGGGACCTTAGAGGCCACGGAATCCAACTGTCCTCATTTTACAGATGAGAAAACTGAGGCTGAGAACTTAGGGGACTTGCTCAGGGTCACTGAAGCCCTTCCAGCTCCAGACCTGTGCTGCTCCAAGTTGCTTCTCTCCAGGTCTCAGTGCTGTCTGTCAGATCAGGGGTTTGGGTCACAAAATCTCTTTCCAGCTCTAAATGGACCATTTACCTTGTCCAAGAGCGCCCTCTTGTGGCCTGTGATGGTAGCTCCACAGGTTGGCAAGTAGACGGTGAATATTGATTGGCTTCAGTAAGAGAGGTTTTGGGTTGGGCAGATTAAACTTCTCAAAAGGGAACATTTTAAAAGAATGATTAATCCCTGAAGTCACAGATGATCAACAAACTCTGGCATCTCCCAATTTAAATAAAAAAATCTTCCTCCACGATCAGAGAAATGAGAATTGAAACTTGATCAGCCTCACACCCAGCTGTGTGACCTTGAGAAAAACCACTTCACCTCTCTGAGCCTCAGTTTCCCCAGCTGTAAAATGAGGGGGTTGGACCAGATAACTCCTGAGGTCCTTTCGAGCTTTGGATCTATCATCCTCTGGCACCAAGAAGGGATTGGGAAGTCCCAGCAATACCCCTGCAGGCGAGCCCTCCACCATGCGGGCACTCTGCAGGAAGGGCAGAGACGTCCACTCTTTATCCCTTTGTGCACCTCTGTGTACTACAACAACTAAACACTCAAACAGAAGTGAAAGGGAAGGTGAAGACAGCCATGTGTCCTGGGGAAAATTTCAATCCCAGGCCAAATGTGACGGAAGAAACGACTTCTCCAGAATTTCCCAGGGGATGCTCCATATCTACCATCGCCAGATTTCTGTAGTCTGTTCTCCTGATGTCACAGAGTCCTCTTTAGCAGACATAGTCCCATTCATGCTACTTTCATTTTCCTTTGCATTCTTTGGGGACATTAACTCCCCTAAAATGGGGTTCATTCACTCTAGTCCTTTATCTGTTGCCTTCTTATGGCATGGAGTTGACCTTGAATTTGGTCGTTTAGAGTTGGAAGGGGCTTCAGAGGCCATCATATCCAACTCCCTCACTTTACAGAAGAGGAAACTGAGACCCAGGGAGCATCAGTTACTTGCCCAAGGCCATAGAAGTGATAAGAGGCCAAGCCAGGATGTAAACCTAAGTCCTTTGATTCCAAACCCTGGGCTTTTTGCGCTTGTACCTTGGCAGGTTCTCAGTAAGCATTTGTAGATTGGTTCATTGAGTGCTGGCTAGCTAGCGATCTTTCCCATTCCTTGAAATCCTCCTTATTCCTGGTTAAAAACTTCTCTGCAACAGGCCTGAGCCCCCATCCCTTGCCACAAATTCCAAGCAGCTTCCTTCTTAACACCAGGAACACTGTTACCCATACAATGGAATTACATACTTCCTGAGCTTGAATGAAACTCTTGTTTTGACTCTGAAATGAGCTGAGAACAGCCAAAGGTCCTCGGCTACCCCTGTGCTGGAGGTGCCACCAGAATGTCCCAGTTTACCACTAGAGTTCCAAAGATCCAGTATGTCACCTGGGAGAATTTTTTCTCTGCCAGCAGAGACCTCAGGTTCTCCAACCTTGGGAGACAACTGAGGTGATAAAAAAAAAATGCATTACCTAGGAGGAAAACTTAACACTTGGAGATTTAGTGAGCCTGGCCATAGAGGACAGAGTCAGTCCTTGGGTGTGTAAACTTGCTTCCCAGTTGGGTAGGAAGTGTCCAAGCATGCACTCAGCTGGCTTTGCCTCCAAGCAAGTGCAGTCTCCAGAATCAGTTTCCACCTCTGACACTAGTCTAGCTCAAAATCTCTGATCCTATGTGTTAAAAAATGGTGTTAGATGCTATGGAGTTTAGAAAGGAGTATGAAACATAATACCTTCCCCCCAAAGCCCTAAAATACAGATGAGAAGACCAGCTCTATAGGCAGCTAGGTAGAACACTAGATAAAGTTTTGGACTTTGTCAAGAAGACCTGAGTTTGATTCCTGCATTTAATCTCTCTGAGCCTTGGTTTCCTCACCTGTAAAAATAGAGATAATTACAGTAACATTTACCTCACAGGTTTAATTTAAGAATCAAATGAAATTATCTACAGAAAGCTCTTTGCAAACCATAAGGCCCTGGAAAAATGCTAGCCATTAACCAGCCATACAAAAAGGTAATTGACAGTGTAATACAATCTTGTTAAGGTATAAGTTTCTGGGGCAGCTAGGTGGCGCAGTAGGTAGAGCACTGGCCCTGGATTCAGGAAGACCTGAGTTCAAATCCAGCCTCAGACACATAACACTAACTAGCTGTGTGACCCTGGGCAAGTCACTTAACCCCCATTGCCCAATGGGAAAAAAAGTATAAGTTTCTTACAGGCAGGGACTGTTTCATTTTTGTTGTAGCATAGAATCTAGCCCAGTGTCTGGCATATAGTAGGTGATTAATATATGCTTATGGACTGATAAGCGCCCAGTGAGTGATGCAAGCAAGGAGCAAAATAGGAGTTCAGTGGCCCAGAGCACTATGGCTTGGCTAATCAGGGAGGGATTCATGGAAAAGGTGAGATTTAAGGAAAGATTTAGAGTTGAAAGGGACTTTGGAAGCCATGGAGTCCAACTCTCTCATTTTATATAGGTGAAGAAACTGGGGTACAGGAAGAATAAGTGACTTGTTCAGGGTCACACAGCTGCTGTGTCTGAGACAAGATTTAAACTTGGGTCTTCCTGACTCCAAGTCCAGCATTCTGCCCGCTGTAGAAACCACCAGCGTGCCTTGAAGGCTGCGTGGTTCTTGGCCAGGTCAACTCAAGAGGAGACAGGGCTTTAGGTGAGGAGATTGTCCTGAGCAAGTCCGTGCATGGGAAAGATGGCGGTGTCATCCACTTCATGTCGTGACGAGAAGCCAAATTAGCATAGTGGCCACAAAGTGACGGCAACATTGCAAAAGTAGGGTCAAAAGAGTTATCAGGAATAATTCTGAGGTCTCGTGAGGGAGTGATTGATAGAATACTAGAGTCATCTAGGGGAGCTGGCCTCAGATTCAGGAAGGCCTCAGTTCAAGTTTCCTCTTTGATCCATATTGTATTATTATTTGATTTTATATGATTATCATTTTATAGTAGGAAGGTAGGAGGCATAGTGGAGCGCTGGGCCTGGAATCAAGAAGACCTGAGCTCAAATCTACCCTCAGACATTTACTAGCTGTGTGACCCTGGGCAAGTCCCTTAACCGCTGTCTGCCTCAGTTTCCTCCTATATAAATATGGGGATAATAACAGCATCTACCTGACAGACTCGTTGTGAGGATCAAATGAGATAATAATTGTAAGGTGCTTAGCACAGTGACTAGCACATAGTAGGCTTTATATAAATTCCTCTTCTTCTTCTCCTTCTTCTTCTTCTTCTCCTCCCCCTCCTCCCCCTCCTCCTCCTCCTCCTCATTATTAATACTAATATTATCATGGTACAGCGCAGATGTCACTGTACATAGATAGGAGACATTCCCTCACCGGAAGTTCCCTCCAGCAGTGAAATCACAGGCCCTGACCAAATCATAAGGAAATGATTATAGAGATGGGGAAGTTGGGAGAGGGAGCTGGAAACTTTAAGTAGCTATCGAGGTCAGAGCTAACATTCCCTGAAAATGCTAAACTGTGCTCTAATACATGCTTGAGAAACCTGACTTTTGAGGTGGAACAAAAACAAGTCTCTGAAGATATTGAGTTCCTAAACCATGGGAGAGGCAGTATGGTATTTGGAATCGGAGGACTTAGGTTCAAATCCTCCCTCTGTCTCTTACTACTTGTGTGACCGTGAGTCATGTAAGCTCTCTGAGCCTCAGTTTCCCTTTCTCTGAAATGAGACTGTTGGCCCCGATGGATCCTGAGGTCTCTTCTGGCTCCAGATTTGTGAGGCTATGATCCCTCCTACAAACACTTTATTCCCTAAGCTCATGCAGAACGGCAGATGGGGAGGGGGGATAGATTACATGGATGAATGAACTTTTAACAGCTCGTGGTCTGGGACTCCTACTCTTTAGCAAAACTGCACATGAAACTACCAAGGCGCCACCCTGGCAACGAAGTGAGGTTAGACGCAAATCAGTTTGGAAACTACATCGAGCTGGTTGTGGCCGAGCTTACTGGGAACGAAAACGAAGACTTTGACAACGTGGTGGAATTCCTGACGATGAGCTTGACGCGGAACCACACGGAGCAGCTCCGGAACATGGCCCGGCGCAAGTGGCTGCGGAGGATCCAGCAAGCCGCTGAAACCAGTGGGGTTTGCCTGGAGCCCGTGTACGCGGCAGTCCTCAAGGCCCTGACGGAGGTATGTGCTCCCGTTGGAGCTCGCTAGGGAAAAAGATCCTCACTGTAGTTGGGGGCTCAACTCCATGATGTAGCAGCGGCTGCAAGGATGCTGCAGAAAAATCCTCAGCAGCTACTGCAGATGTGTTGTTTATGTCCCTTCGTGTCCTTGGTGACCGGAGGGATAGGGAAGCTTAGCCAGAAGAGTTGTCAGTTCGGGGGTTGGGGGGAAGTAGAGAGTAAGAGGGGCATGGATGGGACACTGGCAGACTTGGACAGAAAAAGCATTGTGGAATCCTGGAATCCCTGGCTCTGCCATTGTGTGACCTTGGATAAGTCATTGAATCTCCTGAGGTCTCAGTTTCCTTATCTGTGAAATGAAGGATTAGGCTGGATGGCCCCTGGAGCCTTCTCAAGTTTTAGCTCTGTGATCCTCTGATCATCCCTGTGTGTCCCAGAAATACTAGTGAAAAGATAATGACTTTTTGCCCTGACCTCCTCCAAATTAAGACTTTTCACAGGGCTTCCTTTGACCAGTAACTTGAGAACACCTTGCACTAGCAACAGCAATGTCCATGGCCAAGCAAAGGTCCCATTTTAAACCATTTACCTTGTGTGGGCTTAAAAGACATTTTTCAAGGTTTGAGTCTTTCATCACTTAGAAGGCAGCAGGGAGGGAAGGGAGAAAACAAGCATTTATTAAGCACCTACTTTATGCAAGGCACTTGCTAATTTACCAATGTCATCTCATTCCATCCTTACAAAGACCCTAGGAGGGAGATGCTATTATTATTTCCATTTTACAGTTGAGGAAACTGAGGCAGATAGAGGCGATGTAACTTGACCAAGGTCACACAGCTGGTAAGGGTCTGAAGTCAAATTTGAACTCAGGTCTTCCTGACTCGAGTTCCCAGCCCTCTGTGCACTAATAGCGCCATCCAGAGGCCATTTGGCTGTACAATTCTGTTGCCTCCAGCTAAGAGGCAGCTAGCATAGTAGTCATCATCCTTGGATAAAGGGCCATCCTTGGAGTCAGGAAGACTTGAGTTTTAGTACTGCTAACTTATATGATAAAGGGCGAATCACTTAACTTCTCAGTACCCTCAGGCAACTCAAGAGCACTGGCTATGGGGTCCAATCCTACCTCTAATACTTACTACTGAATGATCTTGGAGAAATCGTTTAACATCTCTGGGCCACAGGTTTCACATGTGTAAAATGAAAGGTTTAGACAAGATGGCCCCAGAGGTCCCTTGAAGCTTTACCTATGAACTAAGAATTAATCAATCAATCAAACATTTATTAAATACTGTGCTGAGTACTGTAAAGCTAAGTACTGGGAATACAGAAAAAGCAAAAACAGGACCCACCCTGTATCAACTTGCATTCTAATATAGAAATCAAAGCATACAAGATAAAATCTTTCTGGGGTTCAGGTTCAGGACCTGAAAAACGAAGGGGTTGGATTAAATGATTTTTGAAGTCCTATCTAGCTCTAAATCCTATGACCCCAAGGGAGGTTGACATCTACCTCTCTACATGGAAAGTTTCAGCAACAACATTCTGAAGTCAAGTCTTTATTGCCCCATAATGGTACCACGTCTCCTATTCATCATCAGATTCTAGAGAAACAATTAGTAGAGCTAACTCACTGACAAAAAAAAGAGGGGAGGGGCAGCTAGGTGGTGCAGTGGATAGAGCACTGGCTCTAAAGTCAGGAGGACCTGAGTTCAAATCCGGCCTCAGACCAAACACTTGACACTTACTAGTTGTGTGACCCTGGGCAAGTCACTTAACCTGAATTATCTAGAAAAAAAAAAAAGAGGGGAGACATCCCTACATGGGGGCAGGTCAGGAGCTAGTGTAGGTCATCCCTCTGCTTCTAGGATGCTGAAGTCCATGGCAACAACAAGAAGATTAGTGCCTACATTGCCCTCTTGGAAGAGAACAAAACCATGCCAAAGAGAGGAAAAGTCCTCCTGAGGAATGTGGCTTGTACCATAGAAGATGCCCCATTCCTCCTGAAGCAAGCACTTTACCGGGACATGAAAGGAATCAGGTAAGGACCCAAGGGAGGGAGGTTCATTTCCTCTTCCCTTGAGCTTCTGCAGTTCTCATTCCTAAATGAAGTAGCTTCAAAACCCTTGAAGTAGTCTGAGAGAGAAAAACCACATAAGTCTCATGCACAACATTCTTCTTCACCAGGGACAGTCTAATAGCAGAGCTACTCCTAGACCACTATGGAAAGTGGTCTACCTATCTTGGAAAGAATTTCTATCTCCTTAGGAGATGACTTCCTAGATTTCTAGCTTTCTTCTTTGGAGATAGAGCCTCAAAAGAGGGACTGGGCAGCATGTTCATAATTCAGTTATCCTGGCAGTTCTACCTTGGAAGCTAGTTATTCTGTACTTATTATCTACTTCAAGTACTTCTCCTCCTTTGAGGAAATCTGACCTTGAAGTCAAGAAGACCTGAGTTCCAGTCAGGGGTGTGTTAGGGAATGTTTTAACAACTGGATCTTCCACACAATAAGTCTCTTAAGTCTAATCAGCAAAACAAGAAATCAAAACCTGATTGGTAGCATTTGCAAAATTCTGAGATGTAAATGCTCACACTGAAAATTTAACAACTGGTTCTCAGAATCCTCTATACCAATGAAATCACAGGTCTGTTTTTTCTTTTAAGTCAGGATCTCTAGACTATCATTTTTAAATTTACTTCTCTAACATCAAAGATGTCTATATATTTATATACTGGAAATGGACGATTTCTACCTTTGAAATTGATTTATTCTTAGCTCCTTCTAAACGCCATCCTTCCCTTTGTGGTCTTCATTTTTTTCTGCCCTTTAGTTTTACAGTGGTGGATCAGGGAAAGCCAATCCATGTCCCACAAGTTGAGAAGCATGGAAATATCCACTTCTGGAACCCTGCCCGTCAACAAAAGGATTGTAAAGGGTCATTCCTGGCTATCCCTCTTGAGGATGCTTACAAGAGAAGCTTTGGGATCCTGGGAGTAGACACCCTACGGGATACCTCCAGAAAAAGCATCTTTGTAACTCATGAGATCAGCTTCTATCAGGTAGGTAGTAGAAACATTGAAATGTCAGTGTGAACGCTCTCTATGTTGGAGTGAATAGAAAGAAACAGAGAGACCTAGAGGAAAAGACAGATTAGATAAAGAGCAGGAAAGATAAAAGTGCTTATTCATATAACAGGCACTGTGCTAAGCACTGTGGGTACAAATACAAGCAAGATAGTCCCTGCCCTCAAAGAATTTATATTCTAATGACAGAAGGCTACAACACGTTAAGAAGATCTAAGAAATTTTCAGGGTGGAATTGATGCTCACGTTAGTAGCTTTGCATCCAGCCTTTGTTCTATCCCTTGAATATGTTTTTCATTCATGACTTAAGGTGTCTCACCTGTGTAGATGGGAGGAATTTGTGTTCCAGTTGACCATTCATTTCTTAGTTTTTAAGGAAATTAGCCAATAAGAGACCTATTTAGTTTCAGTTGGGGGAAGGGAGGGATGGGAGCAATTTATTTTATTGAACTATCAGAAAGTGAACTTGCTAAAATAGAAATTTACTTAAGGAAGAATTTACTTTGTAGTTGTTTTTTTTTCAGCTAAGTAATCAGAAATCCTTTCCATTCTCAAGGTGGGGTTAAAAATGGATTCTAGCCTCACAAAATACTGGTCTAATCCTTATGTTGAGTTTTATAATTTTAGGGGAAAGAAGATGCAAAGGGGAATGAATCAATGAACAAGCATTGAGTAAATGCCTACTGTAGGCTAGGCACTGTACTAGACCCTGATGATACAAACTGAGAAACAAAATGATCTCTGCCCTCAATGAGGAGCTTGTATTCTATTCAAGGAAACAACATGTATGCATATAAGTAGTTGCAAAATACAGACAAATTAAATATAAGATAATTTTTGTGTGTCTGGGGAGGCACAAGCCTCTGGGAGATCAGGGAAGGCCTGAAGTGGGCAGTAGTACTTGAATGAAGCTCCGAAGGATGCTAGGGAGTCCAAGAGGCTGAGGTCAGGAGGACCCACATCCCAGGCATGGGCAACATCAGATGCAAAGGCACAGAAGCCAAGACGGATTGTTGGGTGTGAAGGACAGTAAGTAAGGCAGTTTGGCTGGACCATAGAATACATCCAGAAGAATATGGAATAAATCTAGGAAAGCAGGCTGGATCCAGATTATGAAGGGCTACAGATACCAAATAAAGCCATTTCCACTTAATCCTAGGGGCAATAGGGAGTCATAGGAGCTTCTTGAGTTAGAGAGTGACATGGTCAGAAATAGCACTTCGGTACTTAGAAGAGGATGCATTGTCCAGAAGACCAACTTGAGTAGAGAGACCAGTTAGGAAGCTATCAAAGTATTTCAGAGGAGAGGAGAGATGATGAAGGCTTGAATTAGGGAGGAGACCCTATGAGTGGAGAGAAAAGATTGGATGCAAGAGATCTTGTGGGGATAGAATCAACACCTGGCACATGTGGGGAAAGTGATGAATCAAGTTTGACTCCAAGATGGTGAACCTGCATGACTGGCATGGTGGGCATACATGCAGCATGAGTCAGGTATACCCAAATGTTGTGCAACACACCCCAGGATGAGCATTACCATTGACCTTGCCAATCTTCTAAATGGGAAGTCACCTCTGGTGACTAGAAACATCATGGTGCCCACAAAAGCAGCAGAGATGCTAGGAAGAGGTGTGGATCTGGGGAAAATATAACGAGTTCTATTTTGAACATATTGCGTGTGAGACATCTCCAAGCCATCCAACTGGAAATGTCCAATTCACCTCCCAAAATTTCCAAGAATTGGAATTTTCAAATCTGACTGCCAAAAAAGGGTGCCGATATTGGCATCAAAGATAACATAGTGGCTTTCCCAGTCAAGATGGCAGAATGAGAAATCCAAAGAGAGCTGGGCTCCGCATATGCTTTTCTAAAAACAACAAATAGAAACACCAAAGAGAAGAGCTGCCATAGTACTAACGATATTGGACAAAGTTCAATTCAAAACAAACAAGAGGATTGCATGATACTCCAAGGGTTCTTTATAAAGTGAGAGAATATAAATTTAAAATACATTTATACCTAATAATCCTGTAATAAAATCCTTAAAAAAAAAAAAACCAACCTCATAGTCTTGCAAAAAGAAATCACTAACAAGATGGTGGAGTAAAAGCAGTGATTTGCTTGAGCTTTCCCCTAAACCCCTCCAAATATCTGTAAAAAAATGACTCTAAACAAATTCTAGAGCAGCAGAACCCAAAAGAGACAGAGTGAAACAAATTTTCATCACAAGACAATCTGGATGGTTGAAAGGTCTGTTGTGCCAGGCTGGGAGAGGAGCGCAGTTCAGCTTGGGCTGCACAGGCAAAGATGGGGCCCCAGCAAACCCAAAGTAGGCCTCAGGGGACTGAATCACTAGCAGCTGTGGTGGTTTCAGACTTCTCAACCCATGAACGCCAAAGACATCTTAGAAGGTCATTGGGAAAGGTCTGTTGGACCTGGAGGAGAGAAGAGCATGGTCCGTCCTCAGTCCTGGTGCAGCCCTGGGAAGGCAGCAGCAGCAGCTGCTTCCAGAGCTCTTGGCCCATAGACAGTGAGGGGAAATCGAGTGGCTGATAAGAGGGGGATTGCAGGGATCTCTTTGCTGGGGCTGAGGCAGGATTCTCTTGCTTTGCCCTTGCTTGGATCTGGGTCCCAGTCCTGGGGCAAAGAGGAGTGCTGGTGTGGTGGAGCTTGTGGTGGTGGTGGAGAGGGAATCTTCCTCACAGTTCCAAAGCAGAAAAGAGTGCTTGTGGTCATTCATAGACCAGAGCACAGGCCAAAAAAGGAGTAAACACCTCACCTTTGATCAAACCACCTTGGAAGAATTGAACATTTACAGGTCCTTAGAAGTATCTCTGAAAACAGCTGCACAAAATCCCTCAAGTTTGGGACAGTTCACCTTCCACACTGGAAGCAGAGCCCTACCTTCACAAAGAATTAAAAAGTCAAGTAATTGACTAGAAACATGAGCAAACAGCGGAAAAAACTCAGACCATAGAATCTTATTTTAGTGACAAGGAAGATCAAAACATACAACCAGAAGACAACAAAGTCAAGGCTCTTACATCCAAAGCCTCCAAGAAAAATATGAATCAGTCCCAGGCCATGGCAGAATTCAAAAAGGATTTTGAAAAGCAAGTAAGAGAAGTAGAGGAAAAATTGGGAAGAGAAATGAGAGTGATGCAAAAAAATCATGAAAAACAAGTCAACAGCTTGCTAAAGGAGACCCCAAAAATACTGAAGAAAATACAATAAACTTAAAAAATAGACTAACCCAAATGGCAAAAGAGGTCCAAAAAGCCAATGAGGAGAAGAATGCCTTAAAAAGCAAAATTGACCAGATGGAAAAGGAAGTCCAAAAGATCACTGAAGAAAATAATTCCTTAAAAATTAGAATGAAGCAAATGGAAGGTAGTGATTCTATGATAAATCAAGAAATTATAAAACAAAACCAAAAGAATGAAAAAATAGAAGACAATGTGAAATATCTCATTGGAAAAACAACTGACCCAGAAAATAGATCCAGGAGACATCATTTAAAAATTATTGGACTACCTGAAAACCATGATAAGAAAAAAGAGCCTAGACATCATCTTTCAAGAAATTATCAAGGAAAACTGCCCTGATATTCTAGAACCAGAGGGTAAAATAGAAATTGAAATAATCCACCAATTACCTTCTGAAAGAGATCCCAAAGGTCAAGGAGAAAATATTGCAAGCAGCCAGAAAGAAACAATTCAAGTATTGTGGAAACACAATCAAGATAACACAAGATTTAATAGTTTCTACATTAAGGGATCTGAGGGCTTAGAATATGATATTCCAGGGGTCAAGGGAACTAGGATTACAACCAAGAATCACCTACCCAGCGAAACTGAGTATAATCTTTCAGGGGGAAAAATTGAAATTCAATGAAATAGAATACTTTCAAGCATTCTTGATGAAAAGACCAGAGCTGAATAGAAAATTTAACTTTCAAATACAAGACTCCAGAGAAGCATGAAAAGGTAAACGGGAAAGATAAATCATAAGGGACTTATTAAAATTGAACTATTTACATTCCTACATAGAAAGATGATATTTGTAACTCATGAGACCTTTCTCTGTATCAGAGTAGTTGGAGGGAATATGTATATATATATATATGTGTGTGTATATATATATATGTATGTATACACACACACACACACACACATATATATATATACACACAAACAGAGACAGAGAGAGACAGAGACAGAGGGCACTGGGTGAGTTGAATATGAAGGGATGATATCTAAAAAATAAAATTAAGGGGTGAGAGAGGATTGTACTGGGAGAAGGAGAAAGGGAGTGGTAGAATGGGGTAAATTATCTCACATAAAAGAGGCAAGAAAAAGCTTTTACAGTGGAGGGGAAGGGGGGGAAGTGAGAGGGAATGAGTGAATCTCGCTCTCATCAGATTTGGCTTAAGGAGGGAATAACACACACACTCAGGTGGGTATGGAAATCTATCTTATCCTACAGGAAAATAGGAAGGAAGGGTATAAGAGACAGGGGATGATAGAAAGGGGGACAGATTGGGGGAGGGGTAATCAGAAGCAAACACTTTTGAGGAAGGACAGGGTCAAAGGAGAGAATAGAATAAACAGGGGGCAGAATAGGAGGGAGGGGAATTTAGTTAGTCTTTCACAACATAGCTATTATGGAAGTTTTTACATGACTACACATGCATGACCTATATTGAATTGCTTGCCTTCTCAATGAGGATAGGTGGGGAGGGAGGAAGGGAGAGAATCTGGAACTCAAAGTTTTGGTTTTGTTTTTTTTTTTAAGCTAGGCAATGGGGTTAAGTGACTTGCCCAGGGTCACACAGCTAGTAAGTATTATGTGTCTGAGGCCGGATTTGAACTCAGGCTCTTCTGACTTCAGGACCAGTGCTCTATCCACTGTGTCACCTAGCTGCCCCTGGAACTCAAAGTTTTAAAAACGAATGTTAAAAATTGTTTTTACATGCAACTGGGAAATAAGATGTACAGGCAATGGAGTACAGAAATCTATCTTGCCCCTACAGGAAAATAGAAGGGGAAGGGGATAAAAAAGGGGGGAATAGAAGGGAGGGCTGATTTGGGGGAGAACCATTCAAAATGCATGCTGTCTTGGGGTGGGGGGAGTGGAGAGATGGGGAGAAAATTTAGAACCCAAAATCTTATGAAAGTGAATGTTAAAAACTAAAAATTAATTAATTAATAAAAAAATTTTTTAAAAAATAAATCACTAAAGGACTAATAACAATGGATAATTCCTAATACTATCAAAATGCAATAAACCTAACAAAAAGGTAACAAAAAACAAAATAAAAGAACTGGTTCAAACATTAGGCAAACTCACCCAACAAGGAATGCATCAGGGTTTAACACATTGTTGGTAAGACCTTAGATTTGTGCACATGTTTTGAAACACAACACAGCAATGTTCGGTGAATCACAGGTCAAATCATGCCTTTTGACCCAATGATTGCATTGTAAGGCTTTGTCCTAAAATATCATAAAAAGGCAAAGGTGTTTGTAACTGCTTTATGTGCTATTGCAAACAGCTGTAAGTAACTTCTGTAACAGTAAGAGAATGGCTAAGTGGATGATGGCGTCTTCACCTAATAGCATAGTAGGGCTCCACAACTTAGTAGGTACCTCCAGGTATTGTCCTAGGTCCTCATTGCCACCTTGATAAGGGCTTTGCTCTGGCATTCATGATGGCTCCCTCTATCAAGTGAAATACTCATTTTTTTGGTCAGGAACAGAGATGGCTCCTTGACAAGGTGTAAATTTTTTGCCTTGTCCTAGGTTGTTCCACTGATATTACATTAAGAATGACTGATTATATGCAGCCAGTTTATACACTTGTGCTACACCCTTGGACTATCCCTTTAAAAGGGAAAGCAGAGGTACAGGGCACAAATAGAGACAGAGGACATTAGAAAGGAGCCAGTTGGATACACATAGATTTGGTTGACCAGAGGGAAGTTTCTGTAGGCACATAACCTATTCAAGGAACCAGCTGGATCAGGAAACTAGTTGCAGATGAAGATGATGAATGAATTAATGCATGCATCCATGAATGAATGAATGAATGAAAAGCATTTATTAAGGGTTTACTATGTGCTTAATGATGTGCTAAGAGCTAAGGATACAAATAGAAAAAGCAGAATAGTTTCTGTTCTCAAGAAGTTCACACTCTAATTGGAGGAGACAATGCCCATAAATGCATTCAGCTGTAGGGTACATGAAAGCCCAGAATTCCTAAGGGAACAATGATGGAGCCAATGGCAAGGAACAGACATTCTAAGGCGCATCAGGAGGTCAGATGGCAGAGCCGGCAGCTCTGGAGGGTGTAGTGGCAGATCAGGGAGCAAGACTCAGAGGACCTTAGGACAGGGGTAGGGCAGATAGAAAAGGCTAGCAGTCTTCCATTTCATTAAAAGTACTACAGTTGTCAACTCCCAGCTCATCCAAGTGGTGAGAGCAGCCATGTTGTTCTTTCTGCCTAGAAATTCCATCAAGGTCTGGGTGGCCCAGGAGCCAGCAAAGGGATGAGGGGATGCATGGGAGAAGGGTGAGAGGGTCTGGGTGGCCCTAGGTTTCAGACAAAAGAAAAGGTAAAGGGAGAAGTGTGCCCCCACTGACAGTTTCTTCTGTCTCCTGATTACCTTGGATAAGGTCTGGGTGGCCTGGGGTTCATAGAGAGGGGCAAATGGAGAGTAAGGACTAAGTAGGGAGTTCTTTTACCAAGTCTAGACCAAGTGGGGGAGTTTCTGGGCCAAGATGGAACTGGAGCAGAGGAGCAGCATTGGATAGAAGGAGAAAGCCCTTCACTGGTACTGAGTTATGTGGACTGTGCAGGTCCAGGGAAGGAAGCAGAATCTCTAGCAAACCCAAGTGTATCTGCCTTGCAAAGAAGTCTCAATACCAACATAGTAGTATTAGTCTGGAGGACTATTAAGGTCCTTGGGAAAGATGGAACTCAAAGAGAGATTTGCTTGACTTTAGCAAGACTTGATGCTATCCCTTTGCAGTGAACCTTACCCTCAAGGTGAGGATTAAAATAAGTCTGGAGCTCTATATAGATCCCTGTGAGGTGGAATCTCACCAGCTTCACAAGAAAGGGAAAAGGAGCTGTTTGAGTTTTTATGAACTCACTTATGTGTCCATAGCATTTTTTGTTGTTGGGTTAAATAAAGCCTCTCCTGTATTTGATGTTTTGCTAGTCTAAGCATTGGAGATGTGGGCCCTCTTTATTTTTTATATAGAAATAGATACAAGCCAAATTCCAATGTCCCCAGGTGAAATTCTGGGCCAGGAATAAGCCAAGGAGAGAGAACTATTGAAAAGTCCCCAAGATTGAACCTGATGCATGCAAACACCAGAGAGGTTTGGTTCTTCAAGGAAATGTGAGGGAGACAGAGATGAGTAAAACTTTTGCTGTCTGTAAGCCAACCATACCTATGTTTAAACAAAACAAACTAAAAAAGACAGAAAAAACAAACAAACAAACAAACAAAGCCAAAGGTAGTTTAGCACTTCGGACAGACCTGGAAAGGAAAAGAGCCATCCTTCAGGTGCAATTCTAAGAAATGACCAACAGAGGGCACAGCAAACTAGCAGTTGTTCTTTTCTCAGATTTCAATTGCTTTTTCGCAAAGACTCGCCCAGTGCATTTGAGCATTAGTGAATGGATTAAAAGTATCAGGTTAACTGTCTTCTTATTTTTAGTTTTTTTCTTTAATCATTCTGAATTTGATACAAAATCCAACGTGAAAATATATTCAAATTATTTGTAATAAATGACACTGTAATATAATCATAGGTCATGTACAGATAGTGGTGTCCATAGGTTATCTCATTTGACCCATGTTAACAGCCCTGTGAAGTTAGCGCTGTTTTATCCCCATTATGAAGGATGAGGAAATCCGAGGACTAGAGAGATGGTCAGAGATAGGATGCCAAATCTAGTCCTTTTTCCACTATATCTAGAAGGGAAACTTAGAAGTTATCTAGTCCAGCACCTTCCTGGTACTGAGGATAAAGGAAGCAACTTGTCTAGGCTCATACAGCTAGGTAATGGTAGATCAGTATTCTATATCTCTATATTTATCTATCTATCTATCCATCCTATCCATCCTATCCATCCATCCATCCATCCAACCATCCATCCATCTATCTATCTATCTATGTATCTATCTATCCATCTATCTATCCATCATCCATCCATCCATCCATCTATCTATCTATATATCTATCTATATAATCTGTCTATATTTTTTTTTACTATAATCCAGGCTTCCTTGCTCCTAATCCAAAGATTTTTCTATGACGTCACATGACTGATAGGAAAAAATATCAGAAAAAAAGAAGAGATTTTGAAATTTCAAATAATTCAATAGCAAATGTCAAGTAATAGCTACTTCAGCAATGGTTTGGTCTGACATCAATGACAGCAAAGACGCTCCATGGATGCTGATCCGATGATATTGGTTGACACACTGTCCAATAGGAAAGGTAGTTTGACATGTAAGACATAGACTTGGCCTCCAACAGTTCTTAGAAATTTTCCCTTGCATGAAGCCCAATTTTGCCTCTCTAAGAACTATTGAAGTTCTCCAAAAGTAGAATGGTCTCCCTTAGGTGACAGTGAGATTCCCCTCATTGGAAGCCTTTAAGCAAAATCTGGATGACCACTTGTTCGCCATATTATAGAGATTTAGATAGGGTTGACTTAATTAGTGTGAAGAAACACATTTAAGTAAGGGCACATCTGCATTGTACGAATTTCCCCTTCTATAGGCGTCTTCTATATGCTGACATGTGGGGAGGGAGCTGGGGGGAAGGGAGAATTGGTACATATTTGTACCTCCCTTCTCTGTGTGTCTGTATTTGATAAACTCCTTAAACAAGGGGAGAGCCCACTCAAAGTGTGAATTTGATTTAGGAACAGCCCAGGCTGCATATCTCTCCTGGTAATGGTTCTGACACTCCACCTGCATCATCCTTAGGGATGTATTTGAGAGCCCCAGGGGCAAATAGCAGAGTTTGGAGCCGCAGGCAGGCTATCCTAATTTGCTGCACTCACCTGGTCCATGGAGGCCCTCGTATTTTTGTGTGGCTGTTAGTCCTGTCTTTCATCTCCCTCAGAAGTCCCTTCACCTGAAGAGTTTCTGACGTTGCCACCCCCTTTGTCTCCCATTGCATATGGCTAGAACTGTATGGGGTCAACAGGCATGAGAGATGGGCTTAAATTCATTTTTCATCATATTGACATTCATTTTTCCCAATGTTTTTTGCTGAATAAGGATTCATTTCCCTGATGTTTAATATAACTAAGTTTATCGCACACTAAACTTCTGCGTATTTGGGGTTCTATTGGACACATATTTATTCCATTCCATTCCATTGATACATTTTTAAAGTTTCTGTCTTTGATTAGGTAGTGTTCATAATCACTGCTTTGTGTTATATTGTATTGGAGGTGCAAGGCATAGCAGATAGAGAACCAGCTTTGGAGTCAGAAAATCTGGGTTCAAGTCCTGCTTGGGACTTCTACCAGCTGTGGTAAATCACCTCACCTTTGATATCCCAGACAACTCTGCATCAGCTGAGAAAGTTTCTATACTGGAACTCCCCACACCCTTGAACAGTACCTTATCCCCATGAGACTGGACAAAACAGACCAGACCAACCTTGCCAAATCTGGCAGGGGTCTCATGACTTTTAAATGGCATCGTTCTAATCAGTACATGCTAATTATTTTTCTGCTCTTAAAAATGAGCCGGTTTTGTCTCCACAGGGTGTGGCCAATGCATTTAGTATTGCCTACCACTATGTCCACAGCCGGGAACACATCTTGCATGTGATAGCAACTGCTGTTAGCTGGCTCCGCATTGTAGCACCTAGTATCAGGAACGTTACCACCTTCCTGGTGGAACCTGGACCAGACCAGGTAAGTAGTGCAGGATAGAATTAGGCTTCTAGGATATGTGAGCAGTGTTGGCTTTTTGTTATGTGTAAATGGGAGTACTTTTGAATTTAGCTGGTGTTCATTGGAGACATCTTCGTACCTGGATCTCTTGTGCAAGCCCAGAAAGGATCCTGGATCTATGATCTAATGTGATCTTCCTGGATTATATTTGAGAGACAAATGTGTTCTAATAGAAAGAACTCTAGACTAGAGCTAGAAGACTTGGGTTTTTGCCTTGTTTCTGTTACATATTGTATTCTGCATATATTGTTTCTGTTATGTATAGCCCTGGGATCATGGGAAGGTTATTCAACCTTTCTGGGGCTTAGTGAAGAATGAAATATACCTTCATTAAGTCAAGTCCAGTCAACAGACACTTATTAAACATTTACTATGTGTCAGACCCTTTGCTAAACATTGGGGATATAAAGGCAAGCAATGCTGTCCTTGTCCTTATGGTGCACCCAGTCTAATGGGAGAGACAACATATAAACAGCATTTGCATGTGTGCATACAAGGTATATATATGAATTAATGTTTAAAGGTGACCCAGCCATCTAATATACCCTCTCATGGAATTGGTTCTAATGTGTGGGTTATAAATAATTTTTAAAAGTATAAATCAATATAGACATGTGAAGTAATATTACTATTTTCATTGAAGAACCTCTTCCTTCTGTTTCTAGAGGTATTACTTCCATTCGTCTTCATGAGAATTCCACATGCATAAGAAGGGGTATAAACCATTGTTTTTAATCACATTACTGTGAGGTATTGTTATGGAGAGATTTAAAAAAAATTTATGGGGATAGTTTGGATTTTGTTTTAGCATTCATAGACTTATGGCTAGAAGGGGACCTTGGGGTCACTTAGACCCCCCCTCATTTTCCAGATGTAGAAGCCGAGACCCACACAGGTGGTCAGTGACAGAGCTAAAATTTGGACCTAAGCCCTCTGAAATCAAATCCAAAACTCTTTTTGTATGAATTGCAAAGTCACATTGCTAAGTTTAAGCTCATCGCCATGGGAGAGAGTTGGAACTGTTGGCTCATTCATCCATCCCTTCAGCAAAGGTCTGTTGCACCTAATATGAACATCTTGCTATGATAGAAACCCCAGAGGATCCCACAAAGTTGAATACACTGTCCCTGTATTCAAAGAGTTTATGATCATAGATGGGTGAGGAGAAGGACTCAAGAAAACATCGAAGCTCACATCTAAAGTTAAATACAATGTGACAGCTATTATAACATGAAGTTCCAAATGAGTCCAGAGAGGAGAATCCTGGAGTGTTCTGGAGCCAGCTCATGAAACCTTCTTTAGAGCCAACTATTAAAATTTCAGGGTGAGACTCTATGCTTCAGAAATCAGCAAACACTACAAATCAGAGCTTGATTTATTGTTTTGTTGATTGTCTAGACTTAAGAAAGTGATGGAGAAAATGCCAATTGTGCAGATTAAGCTTAAGAGTTGTAAATTTTCAGACAGCCTGTAGTTAAAGATTTACCAGCATATCCCTGGAGAAATCACTGTGGTTGTCCACAAATGGGGGTGAAAACTGGCTAGGCTAAGTATCAAAACACTTAGAAATTGTGCCTTAACCATACTGTAATAGCACCTCACTTAGCCAGAGGTCACTCAAGCAGTGTGGTACATTTGAGAGAATGCTGGCTCTAGAGTCAGAGAACCTGGATTTGTTTCCTGGCTCTGCTACTTACTGCTTGTGTGACTTTGGGCAGATCACCTTACCCCTCTAGCCCTCGGTTTCTTTATCTAAAAAAAGAGGTGGCTATACTGGATTTTCTCAAAGATTGCTGTCAGCTCCAAATTTTTTATTGTATTTGGAACATAGCCAAGATAATTCAGAACATAACCAAGAATCAGGAAGTAAGCAAAGAAGCCCTCTGCTTACACAAAATAAATGGCACAGAGTCCAAGACCTAAAGGTTTCTGTAATTTATACATGGGAGTAACCTCACAAGCCCTTATCATGAAACTATACTTGGGCTAGATAGCTTTCTAACAAACTTGATTATCTAGTTTTTCGATCTACAGCAGTTTAGAAGCAGTAAATTAGAGATCTGGAAGCTACTGGAAATGGGATCAGCACATAAGTGCTGTCCAAGGTCTAACTTAGTCAAGAACTCAGGAGCAGCTGTCCAGTGCTGGAATCTCCTAGGGCTTCCAATAGAGGTCACATATTTCTCTTGGTAGCTGCAGGCCGTTAAGACTTCTTCTGGTAGGCTTGCAGAGCTGCTTCTAGTGACCAGTGAGGACTTCAAGGCTCACTGTTATAATTGCGCTAACCAATTCCTAAGCTTTCTGGGAAGGTTACTTTCTTTCTTTTGAAAATGTTCATTTTTAGGGGCAGCTAGGTGGTGCAGTGGATAGAGTACTGGCCCTGAAGTCAGGAGGACCTGAGTTCAAATCTGGCCTCAGACCAAACACTTGACACTTACTAGCTGTGTGACCCTGGGCAAGTCACTTAACCCCCATTGTCTAAAAAAATGTTCATTTTTTTGCTGATATCTTTTATTGTTTCCCCTTTGTAGAATGTAAGCTCTTTGAGGACAGGAACTAGATGTCTCACTTCTGTTTGTGTATCATCAGCACTAAGTTTACATTCTACAAAGAGGAAACAATATATTAAAAAATAAATGATGAAATATGTGTGCAAAGCATGCAGTGATTTTGGGGAGGGCACCAACTGAGGGAATCAGGAAAGGCTTCTTGGCTTCACTTTTAGAATTATGTTTGTATATGAAATATCTGTTATCTCTAGTTTCTTTCCACTCTCTCTAGTCAAAAGTGTTTCCGGATCAATTTTTAATCCTTTTTTCCTCCCTCTTCTCTTTTTCTTTTAGACCAGACCTGTGATTTCAATAGCATAGGGAACTCCCTGTGTGGAAATTCCTGTTGCCAATGGAAATGAACTAATGTGTTATAATGCAAAGAGGGTCAGCTTTGGAGTCAGAGACTTTAGGTTTAAATCCTGGCTCTGCCTCTTTCTAGCTATGGGATCTTGGGCCAGGCAGATAATCTTTCTGGGCCTCAGTTTCCCCATGTGCAAAATAAAGGAGTTAGACTAGATCACTGGTGTCAAACTCAAATAGAAATAGAGGCCACTAAACCATCCATAAGGATCTCTGTAAGTACATGTGGATTTAGAAAACCACATTTTAACGTTCTCTGTGTTTTATTGTATTTTTATTTATTCTGTTAAATATTTCCCAAAAACATTTTAATCTGGTCCAGGCCACACTTGGTAGTGTTAGGGGCTGCATAGGGCCCTTTGGTTAAGTGTTGGACATCCCAGGACTAGATGGTCTCTAAGTTTGCTTCTAACTCTAAGGCTATGATTCTAAGAATTCATAGTTTTTGAGAGGTGCCTGGGACATCTAAGAGGGTTAAGTGAATTTCCCATTGTTACACACACAGCCAATATGGGTTCAACCCAGGTCATCCTGACTCCTGGACAGGCTCTCATTATGCCACAGAGCAATAGAGAACATGGGTGCAAATACAAATGGCACTTCAGGGACATACATCATAATCCTCCCAATGGTGAAGGAGAAGGAAGAAGACTAGACCTGAGATTTCTTTGGTGTGAGGAACCCCAAGGAGGTGAAACTCCCTCCACCAATTCAGGGCAGCACCTCAATAGCTGATAACTCTTAGATAGTTGTCTAGAACCTTGAGAGATTAATTAGCTCTGTCACAGAGCCAGCAAGTATCAGAGGTGGAGTCTTCCGGGCTTCAAAGCAAGCCCTCTAGCCACTAAGCCATACTGTCTCTCTTTGAACCTTCCCCTCAACCCCTTCTATGCCTCTCCTAGGTGGAGGGTAATCAGAAGAGTACATGAACATACAGGCGACTAACTTTAGCTGCGCTGAAATCTCTTTTCTCTTCCTCCTTTCAAGGATTCAGATTATGTTCTACGAAAAATGATGTACTTGGACAATAAAAGATGTATGTTAATCTTCTCCCCTCCTGCCATCCTTCACAGAAGGGAGAATCTGTTCAGGTAGGTAGATGAGACTCTCATGGCTCCAGATGGTTATTAGAATATCAGGAACACTTCATGATAGGAAGCCAGCCCCTCGGTGATGCTTTGGAGGACCAACTCTACTGGCTGGATCAAGGTGTGGGTGGCTAGATTCTTCTTTCTCATTCATCCCCAAACAGCCAGAAGGTGGCACCTGCCACCCATGACAAGTAAAGGAGCAACCGAGGAAATCTTCCTAAGAGTCTTCCGGAGATTTTCTTAACTGAGTAGAAATCCAGTTAAGAGCTAGTCTGACTACAGGAGCCATTAACCTGATTCACTTAACAGAATGGATCTGCTAATTAATGTAGGTGCCCTCTGAACACATGTTCTCATGTTTTGTGTTTGGATCAGGAGAAGAGGAGGCTATTTATTGACTCTAACACACCTTGAAATTGCTTTAAAGTAGTGTTACCTGTGGAACACCGAGAGGCATCAATTAAATGTAGACCCCTGCAAAAGACTGCTGTAGAAAGCCAGCTATCTTCAGTAATAGCATAGGTATGGACTAGTGATTTCAATGACATCAGGAAGTCCAAGGACAGGGGGCTTCCTCTACCAATATAGGTTGGAAGCTCCTTTGCAACTTAGAGTCTTAGGGAGTAACTGCCTGGGTCACCAAATGGTTAAGTGACTTGCCCAGGGTCCCACAGCCAATGTGCCTTAGAGGAAGGGCTAAATCCCAGGTCTTCCTGGCTCCAAGGCCAAGTCTCCATCCACCATGCCATACTGCCTTTCTTCAAGTCAAGATTGTCTTCAGCAATATCATCATCCAATATTTATTAAGTGCCTACTAAATGCATGTGGTGGATAGAGAGCTTGCATTGGGGTCAGGAAGAAGAAGTCAGGTCCTGCACCTATTGACTATATTGCAGAGAAGCTTTGATAAAGGGAATTTTCTAACCCAGAACTCCCAGCACTGATAAATCCTCAGGTCTGGTGAAAGAACTAGCTTTGTCCTATGATCTGGGAAAGATGAGATTATGTAGGACACTATCCCTGGCCTCCTGAAGTTCATGGTTTGGCAGTAGTGTTTGGCACAAATAACTGCTGCACAAAATAATACAGGATAAGTGTGGAAGGGAAATATAAGCAAAATGTTAAGGGGGAAAGGATAGGCAGAAAAACATGAGAAAGAAGAGGGCATTTGAACTGGGTCTTAAAAAGTGGGGAAGTTTGCAGTGATGGAGATAAGTGGGGATGGCCCTCCAGGTATAGGGGTAATGAGAGAAAAGGCATACAGGAGAAGCATGAGAGGGGTGGGCACTAGATGCACTTAGGGGGCTGCCCTTGGAGTCAGGAACACCTGGGTTCAAATCCTGCCTCAGACACTAGCTTTGTTACCCAGGGCAAGTTACTTTACCTCCTTGTCTCAGTTTCCTCATCTGTAAAATGAGGGGGTTGGACTTGTCCTTTCAGATCCTTTTCAGCTCTAAGTCTATGGTCCTATGATGGTAGGTAGTCCAGTTGGAGTGGAGCCAAGTGGGTGCAGCAAGAAGTATAGAGAACCTTGGAGTGTGAACTTCATTCAGGAGGCAGTGAAGACCTACTGAAGAGTTTTAATGGCCTCTGTTAAAATAAAGGCATTGGACTCCACAGCCTCTAAGCTCCCTTCCAGCTCAAAGTCTGTGATCCTATCATGATGAGATGGGAGGTAATGAGGGTCGAGACCAAAAATAATAATAGTAATAAAATAATAGATAAGATTTACATAGCTCTTTAAGGTTTGCTTTTATGTAATTTCATTTGAGCTTCACAACATTCCTGTGAACTAGGTGTTATTATTATCTCCACTTCACAGATGAGGAAACTGAGGCTAAGAAAGGTGAAGTTACTTGGGTCACATAGCTAATAAGTGTCTGAGGCAGGGTTCAAACTCACATCTTCCTGACCCAAGATCTGATGCTCTACCCACTGTGTCACCAACTGTCTCTGAGATGGTGGCAGTGGGCCTGTGGTGGAGAAGATTGACAGAGGGATGGCAGAGGTAGAAAAAGCAGAAGTTGGCAATGATTTATGGGGGGAAAGAAAGGAGAAATAGAAAAATACAAGCTAACAGCAAGGTCCTATAAACAAGGGTGATTTAATGAATCATGGAACCACTGATTAAAACTGAGTAGTCAGAAAGGGATGTTGGTTTTGGGAGAAAGAAGAGACACTTGATTTTGGGCGTATTGAATTTGATATGCTATGAGACAGCTAAGTAAAGATGACCTATTGGCAGTTTGACATGTGGGCAGGACGTTTGGGGAAAAGGTCTGTGTGGCAATCTGGGTAGAAATGCATCATGGGATGCTGAAAAGAACAGTGACTTTAGAATCAGAAGACCTGGGTTCAGATCTCAAATCTCCATCACTCACTGTTGTGTGCCCAACTACTTTTGGGCAAGTCACTTACGCACTCTTGCCCTCAGTTTTCTCATCTGTAAAACGGGGTATGTATTGCCTCCAAGATCTTTTCCAGCTCCAAATCTAGGGCCCTGTGGTCCCAGAAAGTTTCTGAAGCAATGGAGTGAATGAAATCACTCCAAGAATGAGAGGAGAAGAAAAGAGGGCTGAGGAGGACCAAGCCTTGAAGAACACCAAGGACTCAGCAGGAAGAACTGAACTGATGGAGAGACAAGCAGTTAGAAAAGTCACAGGAAATCAATTACTAAGCACTTAGTAAGCACCAACTGTGTGCCAAGGACTGAGCCAGGCGCTGGGGATATGAAGAAAAATGTGAGGCCGCCCTTGCCTTCACATAGGTTAGGTGCTATTTCTAAATTAACAATGATTAAAAAAAACTTTAAACTTAAGAAAGACCAAATAAAATGAGTGTTTCTATATCTACTGTAGAACAGAAGGAGGGACTCATATATGAAACTCTAACCCTGTCTGTGTAGAGCTTGTTTTCTTACTAAGCAGGAAATACATTCAGCGTAGGACTTTCAAAGCTGCCCTGCTTGTCTGTGATCTCTTCTGGCCTCTCTTCCCTTTTTTTTTTTTAAACTTGTTCGGGAACCTTATTCCTAGTCTCCCTCTTTGTTTCATTTCCCTTCATGTTCTATTTTCAGATGAGGAAATTGAGATTCAGAGAGGCTGACCTGCCAAGGTGACACAGGTTACATGCTTATACTCTAGGAAAAACCAGGAAAGTGTAGTGTCTCAGAAGCCAAGGGAGCAGAGAGGGCACTTAGAAGGAGGGGGAGGGGCAACAGTATTAAGATAGAAAGAGCTAAGAGGATGAGGGCCCAAAAAAATCAACCTTGTCGTAGCAGATGGAGGCAGAAAACAGATTGCAAGGGACTGAATGGGTGATGAGGTGATGAGACATTGGGTGTAGATGGAACCCTCTCTGTTCTTTATTTAAGGAAAAGTTCAGATTTGTTTATGTTTTTCAAGCTTATGTAATAATAAAAAATAATATACATATATGTGTGTATGTATATATGTGTGTATATGTGTATATACATATACATACATACTATATATATGTATGTATACACACACACAATGAGAATTCCTAAATTCTTTCTGAAAGTTTTGCAGTGAAAGGAAGAGACTATTACAGAAGGAATAAATGACCTATTTAGTGTTGCTGTGGGTTAGCATTAATATTGCTATGGACGCATAGACCTTCCACTTCCGTATTTAGGCACACAGGTTGCTTTTGTCTAAATATAAATGTTCATTGCCTCTGAAGCCCCTTGCTGAATGATTATTTATTACTACCGCAGTTGTTATAAACTCCAAGGTCATGCAAGGGGCTACCATCTTGATACAGACATATGCATGTGGAGTTAGAGAGGAATCAATTATTAGTCCACCAGCAAGTATTTGTTAAGCACTTGCAATATGCTGTCAGAGCAGCTAGGTGGCGCAGGGGATAGAGTGCTGGACCTGAAGTCAGGAAAACTCATCTTTCTGAGTTCAAATCTGGGCCCAGACACTTATTAACTGTGTGACCCTGGGCAAGTCACTTAACTTTGTTTGCCTCAATTTTCTCATCTGCATGGACTAGAGAAGGAAATGGCGAACCTCTCCAATATCTCTGCCAAGACAATCCCACGTGGGGTCACAAAGAGTAGGATAGGACAGAAGTCACGTAACAACAACAACAATGTGCCACCACCATCCTGTTTGGGGGATGCAAAGAAAGGCAAAACCAGTCCCTGCTCTCAGGGAGCTCCCACTCTAATGAAGGTGATGACATGTAAGTAACAAAGTACTAACAGGACATATAGTGAGTAGAAGGTAGGTAAGCTCAGAGGGGAAGGTACTTTCAGCTGAAGGGGATTGGGAAAGACTTTCTGAATATGCTATTTAAGCTGAGAAATGGAGGAAACTGGGGCAGCCAGGAGGTGGAGATGGAAAGAGAGGGTATGCTAGGTATGGGGCACAGGCAGAGAGTCAAAAGGCCTGGAGATGAGAGGTAGAGTGTTGTGTGGGAGCAGCTACCATGAGAAATCTAAAATGTATTTAATGTTTCTTAAACCAAACTGTTTATAATAGAGATTTATCACGTCATATAGAACCTTCTAACTTTTTTACTTAAGGAAAGGTTCATATTTGTTGATGTTTTTCAAGCTCATATAATAATAAAAATTCAAGCTCATATAATAATAAAAATAATCCATTTAAAGTATATATACAATGAGAGCTCCCAAATTCTTTTAAATTTTGTTAACACCTTTTGTTTTCACAGCACAGTAATATCTCCTTTGTAATGAAGAAAACCTGTGACACAAACCCAAATGACACAGTTTCTACATCTGACTGTATATAGAAGGGAGGAAATAAGCATTTATTAAGCCCCTACTCTGTGCCAGGCACTGCATATATGACATCATACACCTGTAGTCCCCCACCTCTCTAGCAAAAGGGAGATGTGCTTCCTCGTAAGAGCTACAAAATTATTGTTTATACTCTTTGACCGGGTGATCAGACTACTATAACTGTACTTTATAGATGTTATTGAAAGGACAAAAAGTCCTCTTGGTATGAAAATATTCCTGATATCATTATCCATTATAGCAAAAAATGAAAATGGCCCACATATTCAATCTTTGGGGCATAGCTACACAAAAAAAGGCATAAAAATGTATGCCGGATGAGATAATGGGATGGATAGAAGACCAGTTTTAAAATCATGAAGACCCAGGTTCAGATCTTACCTTCAGACAGAGAGAACATGTGCATCTGTGTCTGTGTCTATGCTTTTCAATGAGGATGCAAAGAAGCGGCGTCTATCATGCCTCGGACGTACTCCACCTTTTATCACTGTTGGACCGAGGCTTCATAAATGAATTGTAGTGTCTCTGCCATAGTATGTAACTATTCTGGTAGATGGCTGTCAGTAGGATGAGGTGATACCATACTCTTCTGTTCTGTTTCAGAGACTATATCTTTAGAAGCATAGACACCTCTGAGGTTATTTTCACCTATGCCCTTGGGATCGATCACATAATTGCTCCAATTCGAGACAGAAAGGGCCTGGCACTGGGGTTGCTTGATTTCACCACTGCACAGCAGAAGATGTTGCCAGTTCAGGAGTACAAAGATCTACAGAAAATGTTGAAGATAGTTCAAGAAGCCTGCAATGAAATACTAGGCGAATGCTCTGGAAAAATCGAAAAAAAATATGTCCTAGGTAGGTATGGCATTTGAAGAGACACTCCAGAGCCCCAGATCAATGGGTTCTGCAGGAATCAGACGTGGGGGAACCTGAGGTCCCAGCTCGCCACTTATTGTGACCTGGGCACATTATTTCCTCACGCAGGGTTTTACACTAGATGACCCCTAGGATGTCTTCCAGATCTAAATCTACGAATTTGTTTTTTCCTTGAAAGAGAAAATTCCAAGTATGATATGCCCAGAACCCCTATTGCCACCCCTGATTCAATAAAGGTGGTGTGTGTCACTGAGCAGGTATTTGTCATGAAACATCCATGAGAGATGTCTTCTTCTGATTGCAGAGATAGAGCACAGGGGAGAAGTACAAAGGGCTGGGATTCTCTTCTTCCGCATCATGCTGAAAGAGGTCCAGGGGAGGATCCGGGAGCTCGATCCTCAGGCCTTCAAAGATCTGAAATATTATTATGATCAATTTTTGTCTATGATATATGACTCCCCACTCATTGAAAAGGATCATCACAATCCTCCTACTTTGGTCCATGACATCATAAAAACAATACTGTTGATCATTCATCCGGAGTGGGAGAATACAGAGACTGTTGAGGACTGGGATCAATGTAAACAGGTGAGCCCTAGAGTCATGGATTTTACTGTTATGGACTGATAGTGGCCGGTCATCCTCTCATCCTTCTGCTCTCTGTCTGCAGCACATTACCAATGACTTGATTGCAAGCCTTTGCGTCTTTGATCCCACTACGGAAAATGTCAGAGTTGATCCAGACTTCATTTCTAAATATATCAAAGGTAAAAAAGCTTCATTCTCTTTCTGAAACTTTAGTAACAGCAATACAACCCAATCGCAACTCAGGGACTTGGGTTGGAATTAGGCAAGAAGGGAAGGGCGGCTAGGTGGCACCATAGTGCATAGAATGTCCAGTCTGGAATCAGGAAGACTCATCTTCTGAGTTCAAATTAGGCTTCAAACACTTACTAGCTGTGTAGCCCCGGGCAAGTCATTTAACCCTATTTGCCTCAGTTTCCTCATCTGTAAAATGAGCTGGAGAAGGAAATGGCAAATCACTCCAGTATCTTTGCCAAGAAAATCCCAAATGAGGTCACAGTCAGACACGACTGAAACGACTGAACAACAAATACAGATGAGATTGATTGAGACAAGCAAAATGATCGAGAGGGTCAGGGAAGGGGGAGGGGGAAGGATCAATTTTCATATCAAATATCCCCGATAAAAGCCTGATATCCAAGATATATAGGGAACTAACATAAATGCACAAGACCAAGAGTCATTTCCTAATGGAAAGCAATTAAAGGATGTGAGCAAACAAGTCTCAAAAGAACTACAGACTCTAAGTAGTCATATGAAAGAATGTTCCAGATCAGTAAGAATAAGAGAAATGCAAGTTAAAGCACTCCCAGAAAATTGGCATAGTTGAGGAAAGACAGGAATAAGGCAATATAATTCAGCTCAACTAGCATTTATTTGTACTGAACATTGATTCCCATCTTCTGCAAGAAGCCTTTCCGCTTCCCTTACCGCTGCCGGTGACTTCTCTCTGAGATCACTGACAGTTTCCTCGTCTATATCTTGTGTGTCCACAATAATAATCATTAAATCATTCCTGGGCCAGCAGTCTTTTTGCTAAACCATACTTCCTCTAAGATTATTCAAAAGGCTAATACAATCTGGATTCAGAGGTACTTTTCTGATGGAAATATAACAATTAACATTCTGTGTGTGTGTGTGTGTGTGTGTGTCCCTGTCTCTCTTTCTCTGTCTCTGTCTCTGTCTGTCTCTGTCTCTGTCTGTCTGTCTGTCTGTCTCCCTTTCTCTTTTGACTGAGTCTCCCTATCTTACCTAGATTGGAAGTCACTTGTGGACTGATCCCATCACTACTCATTATGGTGGCTTTGACCTGTTCCTTTCCTGACTTAGGCTAGTTTACCCCTCCTCTGGAAGTCTGGTAGCATCCTGCTTCCCAGAGCTCACCATAATAGTGCTAGAATTAGTGTATCTCCCTGATCAGCTTGGCCCTCCTACAGATCAGAATCCCTGAGTTTGAACTATCTATCAGCTTCAGCCTCCCCAGTGGCTGGAACTATTGGCATGTGCTACCACTGGCATTCTGATTGGTGAATCTGGGACATCTACAATTCCAGCTAGAAGCTGAAGATAATTCATCTATTCTTTGTCCTTTCTAAGGGAATGAGACAAGTCACTTTGCAGTTATTTTCCACTTAAATACTATTTGCTTAAAGATTAGGACACCAAGGTGAGTTGTTTTACCCAAGGCCATCTTACCAACAAGGGCCAATCAACCAATCAACGAACATTAATTAAGCACCTACTTTGTGCCATAAACTGTTAGGTCCTAAGGATACAAAGACAAAAACGAAACAGTCCCAGCCTTCAGTGAGCTTACATTCTAATGACATTAAAATTGTCCAAAGATTCACTGATTGGTACTTATCAAGGCACAGAGATATTTTAATAACTAGTTTATCATATGCTCAGAGCATGGACTCATAGTACAGAGAAACCAGTGGGCCCTGAGCAGCTGTTTCAGCAAATTTATGTAGGTTGTCAGTTACATCAGGCTATAGTTACACGGAATTTTACAAAAGGCAGAAGACGAAGGTGAAGACTTATATATCAAAGAAGAGATAGCAGAAGGGGAAGATCTAGATCAGGCAAAAATAATAAACTACTCAGTAAACACTAGGGGAAAAGCTGGAATGCACAGACTAGCCATCATAGCCTAAACTATGGCTCGTTACTTGACATTTTCATCTTAAGTAAGTGGAGGCAATAAAGCTGAGCCAGAAATTCTCTTATCACTAACCAGTTAGTCACTGGAGCTAAAATAAGATGTCAGCAAAATTCTGAACACTCAAGTTAGTTGCATGACTCACTGTCTTAAGGAAATGGTGTCAATAGAGCCAAACCAGAAGAATTCTCCTATCAAGGGAGACGTATCCATAAATATGTATGAAACATGGGATAGGAACTAGGTTTATGATTTCACTGATATAGAGAACTCCCATGTGAGAAAACTCTCTCTACCAATGCAGGTCAGCACGGTTCTGTGTAATATATAGTCTCTGAGAGTTGCCTAGAGCTTTGAGACGTTAATCAATTTGCTCACATTTGCTCACACTGTATGAGGCAAGGCTTGTACTCAGCTGCGTCTTGCTTTCAAAGTCAGTCATCTGTACTCCTCTTTATACCTGTGTGCATAAAATATATACCAAATAAATACAAGTGCCTTCTGGTCTCACCCACCAATAACCAGCAGCTGTTGTGTGAAATCAGTCATCCAAACCAGCCCCCCTTTTTGTTGAGGACAGGCTTTTAATGATTAGAAAACCCAAGTGTTTGTATTCCTGATTGCTTCCTGCAGCGAAGGCAAGGATCAATCCTGTTGACTTTGACTTTTGAAATTTACCGACAGAAGCCTAACTAATTAAGAGAAGCAAATACTGTTTTACTTGTGCAGAGAACATTGCTGCTCTTGGACCCTCTTCTGGACCAGTTTAAAGTCCATTGAGTTGGTAGAGTTTCCTACTTTCCCTTTGAGTCTTTATTTTGAGGCTATCTGGTCACACACACATTTTCCAGTTCAATGAGAATAAGAAACTCTTTTAATAAGCATTGTTCATCCCACTAGTATAAGTTTTTACATGAAATTAATGAATTTATTTGATAAGAAAAAAAAACTACATGGACTTCAATTCAATCCTAATTTGAGTCAAAGCTATATAGTATGAGGAAAAAAACAATATAACCAGCTGATTTTGCCCTGGAATTATATCTGCCTGGGATAAGCTGGTGATCCCCCTACTTCTAAGTACCCAGAGTTCAGCCTGAGCTACGTTTCCATCCTCTCCCTCATCCCATAATTAACCTTCAGGTTTTTTTTTTTCAATTTGGAGCTTTGAGGAGTCTTTTTTGTTTTGTTCTATCTATCTATATCAGCTAGATTTAATACCCCAACTATTAAATGTGACTAGCCTAGACAGCTCAGTATGCCTCCCCTCTTGTCAGCAGAGAGGTGGTGGACCCCTGCTGTAGAATGAGGCATAGGTTGTCAAACCTGGTGAAGGTACTGATTTGTTTTGCTTAACTGTATTTTGTTAAAATGGAGAGTTCTTTGGAGATCAGAGAGGGAGTCATAAGGAAATGACACTGATTTTTTTTTTAGAATCAATGAAACATTTTATTTTGGGTTTTTTCAGCTTTTCTTTTTTTATTTTAGTATTTTATTTTCTCTAGTTACATGTAAAAACAATTTTTAACATTCATTTTCAAAACTGAGTTCCAAATTTTCTCCATTCCTCCCTTCTCCCTCCCTCCCCAATGAGAAGGCAAGCAATTCAATATAGGTTATGCACGTGTAGTCTTGCAAAACATTTCCATAATAGTCGTGTTGTGAAAGAAAACATGGACCAAAAAAAAAAAAAACTTCAAGAAAATTAAAAAGTATGCTTCAACCTGTATTCAGACATTATCAATTCTTTCTCCGCTACCCGTCCCCGGAGTATCTGAATATAGACTGAAGCATCACAAGTCCTTCAGAGTTGTCTTAGATCATTGTATTGCTAAGTCATTCATAGCTGATCATCTTACAATATTGCTATTACTTTGTACACAGTACATTTCACTTCACATCAGCTCATTTAAGTCTCTCCAGGTATTTATGAGAGCATCTTGCCCATCTCAACGAAACATTTTAAAAGAAAAAAAAACCTTAACTAATCTCTTAGTACAGAAATTAGAATTTCTCGTAAGTGGACTTTTAATTGAACAATTTCGATCACAGCCTGATGTATTTCTAAAAGAGTGATTTCAATGTACAAAGGGGAAGGGAGTCTTTAGAAAGTTACAGTATTGTGTTTAAAAAAAAAGTGAAGTGGGCAACAATGAAACATTTTAAAAAACAGACTTTTGGGGGCAGCTAGGTGACATAGTAGATAGAGCTCTGGCCTTGGATTCAGGAGTCCTCAGTTCAAATCCAGCCTCAGACAAATAACACTTACTAGCTGTGTGACCCTGGGCAAGTCACTTAACCCTGATTGCCTCACTAAAATATATATGTGTGTGTGTGTATATATATATATATATATATATGTATATACATATATATGTAGGTATATAGATATATAGTATGTATATAGACATTTAATTAAAAATCTCCAATATAGCCCTGTGTGTTCCTGAAAAATGACTGCCTTGTGTAATCAAAATTTGCATCGAACTAGAAACTATTAAAAAAAAATCAACAATCAATCAACAAGTCTTTATTAGGTTCCTCGAAGGTGCCAGGCACTCTGCTAAGCTCTGGGGATACAAGTGCAAAGAATGATACCTACTCTCGAGGAGTTTACAGCCTAATGAAGGAGACAAGAAGTACATATAAAAATAAATGCAGAATAACTATAAAATTAACAGATGCGTATTTTATACACACACACACAAAGTAATGAAATACTAGATAGTTTGTAAGGGAGGCAGGGCAGTAGCTCCTGGGGAATGGGAAATCTTCATGCAGAAGACGGTGCTTGAGCAGAGTCAGAGAGGAAGGGAGAGATCTTCAGGCAGAGGTCATGAGGGGGTGCCTACCAGCTACAGGGGATGGTCCAGGCAAAGGTGAGAAGACAGGAGGGGCAGCTTTTGAGTGAGTAATAAAGGATAGCTTGACTGGATCACAGAATACGAGAAGAGAAGTAAAGTCCAAAGTAAGTCAATACAATGATCTAGGGGCATTTTATTTTAGAAGCTGACAAAATAAAGTCAAAAGTTTTGGATGATAGCTTTTCTCTATTAGTAAATTCCTCCGGGTAAGAATTTGATTCAAAATCTCAATGGAAGTAAAAGCCAGATTGAGCAGTGTGCTCAGGAAACAAATAAAAACATCTTAGGCATTGAAAAGAGAATGTTTAGAGCCAACAGATCACTGGAAAATGGCGCCATCTTCTGGTCACTGGCCTTCAGTCTGAAGCCACATGAAAAGAACCCACTGGACTCTTACATCTCTCACCTTTGGATTGCCACTTGGGCCCTAAAGAGCCCCCAGGAGCAGAAAGGAAAGTGATTGGCTGCTTCGTTACCGAGGCCACTGATGCAGCTGGTTGTTCACATGCTCAGCTGTGGTTGGAAAGAGCCTGGAGCATCTGCTCCCGATAGCAATAGCATTGGAAATAAGAAATGGGACCTTGAGGGGAGGAAAACTTTGTTCACCTCCTCCCACCGAACTGCTAGGGAGGTAGAAGAGGAGCTTAATAATAAAAGCACGCAGGGGCTGCCTTCGTTCCCAAGGTCAGAGAGGACCCCTGCCCTCGCCCTACCTCATAGCCTTCAGTGAAACACAGCCGCTAAAAAGATGCCAAGGACGGCAAAGGCTAATGAGGCATGACTTGTCTTAAGCTAGGATTGGCTTTTTGAAATGTTTCCAGAAGAGGAATTGCTTAGATTCACCAACTCCTATCACTTCATGATTTTATTTTTATTTTTGGGCCAAACTTGTGATTTCACTGACATAGGGAACTCCCTTCATCAATGCAGAAGGGAGTTGCCTGGGGAGCACTGAAAAGTTCAGGACACTAGCTAAGTGTCACATACCGGCACATGTCAGAGGCAGCCTTGAACCCGTTTTCCTAACCTAAAGGCCAGCTCTCTATCCATTACACCAAGCTGCTCCTCACTGGGTGACTTGGTAGCATGTGATAGAGATAGCCTAGGAATGTGGGCTAATTTATACCATTAACTCTGTAAAAAGGACAAGAGAGTAAGGGGTGTGGATTACCTGATCCCATTTCACTCTCAGATATCAAAGTGCAAAGGAGTGGACCCAACTGGCTAAAAGGACTGCAATGAAATGAGCAGAATCTAGGCTTTAAATCTGGATGGGAGCTCATAGGATGATAGCATCTGTTTTTGGTTTTAGATCCATTTCCTAAATGGGCATGGAAAGCAGTAAGAAAAATGTGCCTTCACGGGTGAAGAATATCAAAGGGAAAAAACCCAGCAACAACCTAAAGCCAGGGTTGAGTACTTAGGAAAGTCAAATATAAATCTGGAACATCTGAGGTCATTCTGGGGAAATGAACACACTCAGTCTGTTCCTGTCCCCACCTGCTGTCCTTTGATCATGGAAAAAACAAACTCTGAGTGTGTGTGTGTGTGTGTCTGTGTCTATGTTCAGAGAGAGAAAGAAACCAAGGATAACCAAGGGATTTCTTTATGTGTTTTTCACATTTTGTACCTGTGCCTCTTTAATGACTCATTGTGAGGATACTCAGTACAGAGTACCATTAAAGACACACCAAGGACAAACATAGGTCAAGATATCTTTTCCCTTCCCTTTGTCAGAAGATAATAGACACAACCTTTTTTTTTTGTCTAGCAATCATTCTAGTATATATCCAGATTCAACCGTTGCTGAGATATAACCTAGAAGTCTGTTAGAATTTTAAAAAATAAATATTTTTATTGATGCTTTAAAAAAGCATTCCCAGTGACTTGCTCATACATTCTTCCTCCCCATCCCCCAAAACCTTCCCTTCTAATACAGAAGTATAGGTAAGCAAAACAAGCTGGCCCACTGGCCTTCTCTAACAAGGCATATCTCATTCTGCATCTAACGTCTCCCACTGAAGAGGAATCTATGTCAGTCTTCTGAAATCAAATTTGATCACTGAATCGATCAGAATTCTGATAAGGACTTAGAATTTCAAACACCTGATTCAGGGGTAACCATAACTTCATAACTTATGGTTATTTTTCAGCTTTTACTGAATAGTTGTATCAGAAGATAATTTCAGTCAATCAATCAATCAACAAATGTATATTAAAGTGTTTATGAAGTGCCAAGTTGCTAGCTACTTGGGACACAAATAAGAAATGAAAACTGTCTTCCCTCAAAGAGCTTATATTCTAATGAAGAGACAACATCTTAGAGAATTAGAGGGAAGGTAACTTTAGAGGCAAAGGGAGGCAGCAGTGGGGAAGGGGTGCCTGGGAAAGTCCTCTTATAGAAGCTGTCATTTTAACTGAGTCTTGAAGGGAGCCAGGAATTCTAAAAGGTAGAAGTACTAGTCAACTAGATGACAAAGGTAAAGCTTTACAGTGATTTTTTTTTAAACCACCAAAGATTTAATCTATGATCCATCTACCCAACCCACATTAAATGAGTAAGGGAGAAACTAGGACAAAGGATCTCAGCAACTCTGAAACAATCACCTCTGAGTAGGCCTTTTGGTTTGTTTTTGTGCAGGGAATCCCCGAAAAATGGTGTGGTTGCAGCAATCCGTTGCCATCGAATACTTGTACCACTGGGCACTTACCTGTCTGTGTCTGATAGAGCTGAAATATAAACTGGAGGACAAATATGCTCCTCCTTTGCCCCCCGGAGAGATGGCCCTAAACAGACTGCAGGTCAGATTTTAGTAGACCAACCTTGAGCGGGATGGTAAAATAGTTAAAGAGCTCTTTTTCACTATGTTCAGTTTTCTTTGTTAGTTGTTCAGATATTTTCATTTAGAAAGAAGTGCTTCTAGACAAATGCTTCATTTCAAAGCCAAGTCACAGGAAAGTCTTGGCCCAAGAAAGATCAAAGTTACCTCAGAATTCTGGCCTTTCTAACTCCTAGACGGTGTCAGCATTGATGGTTGGGTGGTGTTTGTTTCATTTTTGTCATGGGAACGTAGGCAGAAAGGGAAAGACAAGGCTTAAGACTGTGAAAAGTCTATAACTCTAAAACAGAATAATATATTGCCTGTTAGATGGATCACTTTTAATTCTGATCAACTTCTAGTCTTTCTGACTCATGGCCCTTTGGCCATTGGAAAGTCATGTTAACCAGAAAGCCTTGTGGAAAGAGCATCTTTGTCTCTTACTCCTGGGAAAAAGCCAACACCTTTGTTGCAGAGGGCCCTGCCTAGCTTGAGAATGGTCGAAAGACTTTTACTTGTTTAAAGTGTGGTTACAGCAAACTTTGCTGCTTGGCAGTGAGATTCCATCTTTGTAATAATGTATCTGATGGTAGCGTCCATTTTTTAATAAAATTTTGGGAAATTAAAAGTTCTTTTTCTTTATTCAGTTGACAAAGTGTGATGTCTTCCAAATACTTTGTAATTTGAGATTGGAGGTTCCTTTTTAACCTTTTCTGATAAGATGGCAGCGTTATTACCAGGCCTGATCTCAATGGATTATCTGATGCCTGGCTTAACCCGAAAGCCTGTTTCATATTTGGGAGAAAGCATCTCAGGTCATTTGCCACCACGTTTCTAGGAACAATGTTCTTAAAGATATTAAACTGATAGCCACAAGCCAGATCTCTTTGGAACATGCTTATGAAGAGTACTCCAAGAATACAAATGACTTTTTGAGCAGTCTGGAGGGGAAGAAGTAACGGAGGGCTAAATTTTGTACTTGGGAAGAGAGGCAGAGTAGGTAGAGAGCTGACCTCACAACTCCGAAGACCTGGGTTCCAGCTCCATTGTAATACTTACTGGTTGCATGGTCCTGACAAGGCAGCTGGCAAGTTCTCTAGGCAGCTCTAAAACTCTATCTCGAAGTGCCCACCTGCATCAATAGAGTATTATTTCTCACCTAGGCCTTCCCGGTACCAATGAAAACGCAGGTCCATGCCTTATCCCAACTTGGGAAAGGTGTAGCATTACCTGAAGGTTGTGTCCCACCTGGGTGCTTCTCAACCGACTCACCAGGATGAGATCAATAGAAAAAAAATAGACAAAATGATAGACAGTGTTTGTCCATTTAAGTCTCCTGGAGATCCATTTCTAAAATAAGGAAATTGGATTAATGAGATATGGCAATATTATTCACCATTGCCAATGAAGATAATTCATGTGGTTATATAGACAAGAAGTTACTTCAGAGGCCCAGACCTGGGTAATTGACCTAAAACTATTTTTGAACAAGTCGAAGTCTGCTAATGATGATCCACCAAAATTAAGACCAGAATACTGTGTTATGGATATTCTAAATCATTTCCATATACTGCCCACTCCCCAAAGCCCCCAATCTAACCCATCCTTGATCCTTGCCAGAGAAATTTGTCTCCCACTTTACTCAGAAAAATCAGGGTTCTCTAATGCAAAATTCCTCATTTTTCCTCTTTTTCCCTTTGACATCTCAATCTCTTCCTATCTTCTCTTTACCATTTATCTCAGGAAGGGATATTGGCCTCTAATCTAGAAGACCGGGGTTTGAGTTATGGTTCTTGTCACCTTGGACAAGTCCCTTGACTCCTCTGATAAACTGAAGAGTATCCAGAGGAGAGCAAACAGTATGTGGAGGGGTCTCAAGACCATGGCGTCTAAGGGCCGGTTGAAGAAGCAAGTCTGAGGTGTAGAAGAGAAAACCTGGGGAGGGGGAGGAGATAATAGCTATTTCCAAGTATTTGTGACCCAGGACTCAAAACAGTACTCTGGATAGGGTCTGACAAGGACCAATTTAGTGAAAACTACCACCTTGCCTTGGAAATGATTCCTCTCTCAATAGTCAAAAACTGCATTTGCTTTCTTTTTTTTTTAATTTCTTTTGTTCTAAACTTTACAAACAACTGCTAAAATGGGCATTTCCATATACATAGTAGAACAGAAAGAGAGGCTTGTACATAAAACTGCAGGTCTCTCCTGCATAGTTTACTTTTTTTTTAATGTATATATTAAGTTCAATCTAGAGCTTTCAAAGCTTTCCTGTTTGTGTTTCTTTCTGGCCTTCCCTCTATTTTCTACATTAAAAAAATGCCTCAGTGACCCTTTGCCTTCCTTCCCTCCTTCCTTTTTTTCTTCCTCTCTCTCTCTTTCAGTCTACCCTTACTCCCCTCACCCTCCCATTCTACTCTACTCCTCAGTGGAAAAAAAAAAGAAAAGAAATGAAAGCTCTTGTAACAAGTTACATTAGAATTTTTGGCTGCTATATCATACTCTTATTGGCTCTGCAGTCCAATAAAACCCACAGATCTTTTTCAGACAAACAGGTATCTAATCATACTTCTTCTATCTTGTACTTGTACATCAATTCCTGTTAAATTTCATCTTCCTAGATTTATTAACTCAATGTTCAAGCCTGTTGAGATCTTTTTTTGAATTCTGTCATCCAAGTGTGTTAGCTCTCTTCCAACTTTGGCTCACCTATAAAATTAATCAGCATGTCAACTATACCTTTATTCAAGTCAAAGATTTAAAAAAGTTAAAGCAAAACAAAACAAAATATGGTACCATAGGAGTTCAGAGAAAAGAAAGATCATTTGAAGATGGGGGATTAGAGAAGATTTCATGGAAGAGCTAGCAGAGACAACATGTGGCAGTGGAGAGAGAGCTGGCCTTGAAACCAGGAAGACCAGGTTTCAATGCTGCAGGCAACTCTCAGACACTGTAAGTTGCAAAGAAGATGGCAGCCTGTATTGGTAGAGAAAGTTTCCTCACGTGGGAGTTCACTACAGCAATAAAATCACAGGTCCAATCTCTGTCAGTTGGAAGATAGTCAGGATTTCAATAGGTAGGGCCGAGGTGGTGAGAGACAATTTCTCTGGGTCCATCAGCCTCCTCAGTTCCCATGATTTCCATCTCTAGTCTACTTTAGTAACTCAAACCTCTTTAGGTCAAACCTAAAACAGCTCTACCTTTAAGATCCGAATGCTAAAATCCCTCTCTGTGGTTCATTTATTAAAGAAAACATTTTTAAGCACCTCCCTACTGTGTATAATGGACTACTGCCAGGAACTTTGAGAACGCAACATTTCAATAACAAACAGTTCCTGCCCTCATGGATCTTATGTTCTGGCAGGAGGATAAGATATCAATGCAGAAAGCTACAGGACACAGTATTATGTGGCAAGTGCATTAGAAAAGTGAACAAAGTTTTATGAGATGTTTGGGAGGAAAGGTCTTTACCAAAAGTAACATCTGAATTGGGTTTTAAAGGATGGCTAGGAATCCTAGAGTTAAGGAAGGAGGAGGTAGGATATTCTAGAAGGGGGGGGCATAAGTGAAGACATGGAGTAATGTTCAAGGGTAGAAGTGGGCGAGGAAAGACTGTAGTACAGTTTTGTAGTAGCAGTTTTGTAAGTGAGCAGAGGCGAGTAATACGAACTAAAGAATGAAAAGATGGGCCTCTGAATATCAGGCAAAAGGGTGTTTGTAAAAAGAAGTCCCTGAAGATCTGTGAGCAGAGAAGTAGATCTAAGAACAAAGATCCTTCTGGCCACTATCTGAAAGATGGATTGTCGGGGGTGGGGTGCATCAGAGGTAGGGGGGAGAGCGAAGGTGAGACTAAAGGCTTTTAGACTTGTTAGGAGACTTGCAACAGTTTAGATGGGTGGTGATGAAGTCCAGTACTGGGGTGGCAGTAATGAGAACAGGACTTGGTAACTGATTAGATCATAGGATAATGGGACCACAGATTCAGAGCAACCAGGGACCTTGCAGGTCCTCTCGTGCAACCCCCTCATTTTACAGATGACGAAACTGCGTCCCAGGAAAGTTAAAGTGACTTGGCAAAGGTAGAAAGTAGCAGGATCCTACCACAAGTCTACTGACTAAAAGCCTGTGTTCTCTGCACTACGGTGAAGGAGGGGAAAGAGTCCAAGATAATAAATAGTAATGCTAAAAGCATGGGAGATTGGGTGAATGGGGATGCCATAGAAAGAAACAGTGAAGTCAAAAGAAGTAGATCATAGGATCAAACATCTGGAGCTGGGGTAGACCTTTAAAAGCCTTTTGAACTGGCCCCGTTATTTAGCCAGGAAGGAGAAAGATCATAAGCTTGGCTTTGACCATGCCAATGGACATGTAGTTGGAGATTTCTTCAAGCAGTCGGAAAAGTGGACTTGGAGCTCAAAAAAGAGGACAGACTTAAAAATGCAACTTGGGAAATTAAGCGATTTGGGAGGGAGGGAGATCACAAAGGGTGACAGGGTAGAGAACCGAGAGGAGGCCCAGGACAGATCCTTGGGGAGTACCCAAATTGAGGGGGTGGAAGAAGGACAAAGATCCAACACAGGAGATGGACAGAGGTTAGAGAAATGGGAAGAGAACCTGAACAGTCTGCTATCTCTGAAGCCAAAGAAAGGCCCAACTCTTTTTAGAATTTTAAAGAAATTATTGATACTTTTCTTTTTACATCACTTCATTTTTAAATACATTCTTCTCTTCCCCCTGCCTTTAAGTCTCCCTTTGAAATAAAGAATCAAAAAGACAGAGGAAAAAAGCAGTTCTGCAAAACTAGCCAACACACCCACCAAGCCTGACAGAATATACCAACACAGAAGGACCTGAATCACGACTTCAAATAATATCGTCTAAAAAAAATGTACATACCTTAATTTAAAAATGCTTTCTTGCTTTAAAAAAAAAAAAAGCACATAACTTTTATTTGCACTAGGAAGCCAAAAAGTTTGTGTGACTGGATTAACTGGAATTGACTTATTGTGGTGGCTTGAACCACACGAGCAATATCTCCAATATCTCCACGCTATGCCTGCGTATAATATTCAATATACTATATTTAACATACAGATAGATATTCAACATTATACATAGACACAATTAACATACTATACTTTTACACATATGCATAGTCGGTGTTATTGAGGAATGGCGGCATCAACAACGTGGGGATCTGGAAAGACGTCTTGAAGAAGGTGACCCTTGACTGGGCTTTGAGAGTTGCTGAAAGCTCCAAAGAGCAGATGTGAGGACGGAGAGGGCGGAAGGCAACGGGACACGGCCTGTGCAAAGGCCCCGCGGCGGGAGATGAACCGTCTCGTTCAGGGAATAGTAAGGAGGCTGGTCTTTTCCAGAATTAGGTCTAGAATCCAGTGCCACGCCACCGTGAAAAAAGGGCCGGGCTCTGCCGTCGGTGACCTGGGTTCAAATCCGACCTCGGTCACCGAAGGGATCTCGAACCTCACGTCGCTGAGACAACGCCTCGGGCCTCAGTTTCTTCATCTGTAAAATGACCTGGTCCTCTGAGGTCTTCTCCGGCTCTAGATCAACGACCCGGGGTCTCCGCCCTCGTGAACTTCACTGAACCCGAGTCCTCGGACCCCGAGGGCGCCTGTCCAGCCGCCCAACTCCAGCGGGCTCCAGTCGGCACTTTCGACAGACATTTTGTGACCTTAAAAAAAATCCTCTAAATAAATAGTTCTTATTGTATTTAAAAAAAAAAAAAGCACTTCGCAGCTGTGGCGTCAGACCTCCGCCGCTGCAGCCGGCGTGAAGAAAGAAGGAGCCGACGGCGGCGGGCACGGTGTGGAATCCGCGGACGCGGTGTGGAATCTGCAGGCACGGTGTGGAATCTGCGGACGCGGTGTGGAATCTGCGGACGCGGTGTG